TACATCAGAGATAGCGAGGACAGGTCTGTCTCCCAAGATCTGTGAGAGTAAAGGATCATCTTTCAGGATAGGTTGTAGATCTCTGATGATGCGCTGGAGAGGTTTTAGTTGGGGGCTGAAGGTGACAGCTAGTTTAATCAGTGCGGTTAGTTATGTACATGTAAGTAATCTCTCCTTTCATGCATGGGTGCCTCACTGAATTCACTAGAAAAGGGTGTGTGAGAGAAAGTGAGGTATGCTGGAGCAGATCCAGAAAAAGGTGTTGAACTCACTGAATTTTATTTCCCATAATTAGATGAATTAACATTTGCCTGTTCTCATCACATCTGCCTACTCCTTGTAACTAGTTCAGCATACTCACCTTCTTAATGAATAGCAGACACCTGTGCAGAAAGGAATCATATCCTTTCCTTATTTGTGATTTATTGTGTGCACTTATAATATGGAGTGTGAAACTGTACAGCAGGCCAAAATATAATAAAAGAAAAAGCCTTGTACAGAGCAGGATCCTGTGTGTTTCTCTCCACATCAGTGGTGGGGGCGAGGCATCTTCAATCCTAATGAGGACCCCCCACTTTTCCCTAGTTGAGCTCCTTTTTCAAATTGCCAGAAATTCTCCCTTCAGTCTATGGAGCGCAAGTCAATGTCTCTCAGGGTATGTCTACTCTACAAAATTAGATTGATTTTATAGAAGTCGATTTTTAGAAATCCATTTTATACAGTCGATTGCAAACCAAGATGAGAGCTGCCCTGACAGTTGAGAAGCGAGTGGCAATAGCCCTGTGGAAGCTTGCAATGCCTGACTGCTACCGGTGAGTCGGGAATCAATTTGGAGTGGGCGAGTCTACTGTGGGGGTTGCTGTGATCCAAGTAGCCAATGCAATCATTGGCATTCTGTTATCAAGGGTAGTGACTCTGGGAAATGTGCAGGTTATACTGGATGGCTTTGCTGCAATGGGGTTCCCTAACTGGGGTGGAGCGATAGAACGCATATCTCCATCTTGGCACTGGATCACCTTGCCAGCCAGTACATAAACTGCAAGGGGTACTTCTCAATGGTGCTGCAAGTACTGGTGGATCACGAGGGATGTTTCACCGACATCAATGTGGGATGGCCAGGAAAGGTTCGCTCGCATATTTAGGAACTCTGGGCTGTTCGAGCAGCTGCAAGAAGGGACTTACTTCCCAGACCAGAAAATTACCATTGGGGATGTTGAAATGCCAATAGTTATCCTTGGGGACCCAGCCTACCCCTTGCTCCCATGGCTCATGAAGCCTTACACAGGCAGCCTGGACAGGAGTAAGGAGCAGTTCAACTATAGGCTGAGCAAATGCAGAATGGTGGGAAAATGTGCCTTTGGACGTTTAAAAGCTCGCTGGCGCTGTTTACTGAGTAGGTCAGACCTCAGCGCAAACAACATTCTCATTGTTATTGCTGCTTGCTGTGTGCTCCATAATATCTGTGAGAGTAAGGGGGAGACGTTTATGGCAGGTGGGAGGTTGAGGCAAATCGCCTGGCATCTGATTTTGAGCAGCCAGACACCAGGGCGATTAGAAGAGCACAGCAAGGCGCGCCACGCATCAGAGAGGCTTTGAAAACCATTTTCATGACTGGCCAGGCTTCGGTGTGACCGTTGTGTTTGTTTCTCCTTGATGCAAACCCGCCCCCTTTGTTGATTTTAATTCCCTGTAAGCCAACCACTATCCGCCCTTCAAAATAAAGTAACTATTGTTTTGAAACCAAGCATTCTTTCTTTATTAATTAAAAAAAAAAGAGATAATGAACAAGGTGGGGTGGGGGAGAAGGGAAGGACAAGGCCACATTGTTTATTGTAGCCACACTAACAATCAAACTGTTTGAATGACAGCCTTCTGTTGCTTGGGCCATCCCCCTGGAGTGGAGTGGCTCGGTGCCCGGAGCCTCACCCCCGCGTTCTTGGGCGTCTGGGTGAGGTGGATATGGAACTTGGGGAGGAGGGCATGTGGTTATACAGTGGATGCAGTGGGGGTCTGTGCTCTTGTTGGCTTTCCTGCAGCTCCAACGGATGCTTCATCATGTCCGTTTGCTCCCCCAACAGCCACTTCATCATGTCCGTTTCCTCCCCCATTAGCCTCAGCATCTCCTCCTGCCTCCACTCTTCATGCTCACTTAATTCTTTCCTGGCCTCTGCCACTGAATGCCTCCATGCATTAAGCTGTGTCCTATCAGTGCAGAAGGACTGCATGAGCTCGGCAAACATGTCATCGTGACTGCGTTTTTTTCGCCTTTTAATCTGCAATAACCTCAGGGATGGAGATGATAGGGGGAGCGTA